GTGCCTTCGGATATTAAGGACCTATTAACCTTTATTAGGGTGTTGAGTTAACCCCTTTACTCTTTGAGTTAACCGTCTTCCTCTGACGCTAAGCTACGGCAGCCCCGCTGCAATTTCGCTAACCAATTACTTCCTCCGACTAAAAATATAAGCGGCTCTCTAAATAAAAGCTGTCCAGAAATATAAGCGTTAAGTTCGGCATAATTTTTTTTTTTATGTTCAGCCGAACTTAAGAACTTTGGCTTTGACATACACTAGTGCAGTGCTAGGTAAGGAGCGAGGGAGCAAGCCATTTCTCTTCTCTATCTGACTATTGGACAGATGGGGAACCATGTACTTGTTGCTGCCGTTTACATCCATGGAAGCTTGTAGTTCGGGCTGGATCGTGACGAAAACTCTGTCAATAGCAGGGTAGATTAGCTGTTTGACAGTTGTGTCGACGTTGTCAACGAGGTCCTCAATCGTTTTGGCTTTCTTTTAGTGCTGTAAGGACTGCAGAGAAGCAAAGAAACCGAGATCATTTGCGTTGTAATCTGGTGAATTAGCTGACTGTGGGCTGATGTTCATTTCCCATCCACCTCTCGCACACGCGGCCAGCACCTCTGGGCCATCAGTAGCGACGTGCGGCTTTGCGTTGTCGTGCTGAAGCACAACGCGCTTTCCGATTGGCCACACCGCTTTAATGCGCGGAATGACCATACGACACAGCGCTCGGCGATTCGTGTCACGATCGACAGTAAATGTCTTCAACTCTAATGTACCGGTAGGGCGGTTCTTGCTCGAGCGCTCTGCCGGTTCATAAACAACGAATGGCCGTAAACCTACCTTTCCGTCTCAGGCACGGTGTCGCTTAGCATCCCATTGTGGCCGGCGACAGCGACAAGAAACATTACTTTGATGATGAAGTTCTTGTTTTACACAGTAATATGAGGGACGTCTCCATGCTCTCAGAGATAGAATCGCTGCTTCTCTTTGCGCACATAAAACCACTTTTCACCCAAATACACGTAGTCCATCATGCTGTCGAACAACAGCGTGTTGCTTGGGCCTCAGTGCACAAATCTTAAAGCAAACTTGACTCGGTCTACATGCTGGTTCTCTGTTTGCATCAACTTCACCCATGCGGTGTGGCTACGAAACACACCAGCACGATAGTAGTCATGTAGGGTCGATTTTTGGAATAACTAGAGTACTCGCTAAAGTGCGAATATCTGTGCGATCCTCTAAAGGGATAAGTTCGATGGACCTGTTGAAGTCGTCGCGGAACACTTTGGTCATGTGGGACTTGCGACCGCTCTTTCCCTTCCTACCGCTGTTGTAGTTGATGGAGTTGCCTGCTTTGATGTCTTGGACGGCTCTGTGCCACAAGCGTGAGGTCTGGTCGTCACTACAACCATACTCGGCCGCTCAAGCTTGGGTGGAGCCTCTTGGTGGCTGTAGCGCGATGCTAACGCTTAGTAGGAATGCAACGACCGAGTTAGGGTCTTGCGCATCCTAGGTGTTGGGGCGGAGCGTGCGCTCCTTTTGGTTGACTGGTGAATGGTAAAACTTGAAATCCAGAGTAGTTACAGTCTTCGGAACGGTGGGGAGGGGTGGGGGGGGGGGGGGGGGTGCACTTTGAGCTTAAGTTCGGATTTGCCGTCGAGACCCGCTTATATTTTCGGACCGAGGAAGTATAAGAGTTCAAAACGGCAATTATGCATATATACCAGCCCTGGTTCCAGTCGAGCTTCCATCTGAGCGTCGTATGTACTACTGTACACTTGCTTGTTTTGACGGGTCTCTTAGCAGAGGGTTTCATGTCCAGCAACATTATCGATTCACCGGTTATGAGGCCAAACTCTCGATAAACTGGTTAGGCCGGGTGACAGATGGCTTGTGGCGGTGATAAATGAGGTGGGTCATTATTATCTTTAGAAATTATAAAATATTAAATCCCATGGTATATTTTATTCAACTCAACCATAAAACCAGTCAAGACATCCATGACGCGTTCATGGTGGGCAAAACCCTTCGTGAAAGTGCCCTCGTGGACAAAATTGAGTTTCTCTCCTAGGCCAAGGCTCCTACAAGAAACATCGCGGCGATATTGGCGTCAGACACAGGTAACCCAACCGTCAGCTTACAATTAGACAGCTGATAATATGCTAACTGATACATTCTGGCTTTTAAAAGGGTTGACTATCACGCCACAGCACATACGCAACCTCCTCTTGTGGAGCTACGGAGGACCTACGGTCAATAGTCGACTTACTGCATTGGCAAATGCATTTGGTGAGCTTTCCGGGGGCAACATCCTTGTTTACGTGACGAATATGTTCCGGTGTTCCATTTTTCAGCGCGGCTCAGAAGGAGCTACAAGCTTGATGAGGTGAATCTCTAATTGTCGACTGGACCCACAACTCGAATAATTCCTGCTTCTATCTGGGTAAGTAAAATATGCAATATTACTGGATTTACGCTCAAAGAGACATATCGCTATTCTTGTACTAGGTTCGTTTATGTGAACAACCGCCAGCGGCAGGCATATCCGTTTGTGATATGGTTATTGCAAACCAGCAGAAACCCACGCTCAAATTATGCTTCGAGTTTTTTCGAGACACGGTCAGAGCAGAGAGCATTGCAACTATCGCCATTAATAAATACTTTACTGTGCTGAACGATTTTTTTCCTGCGGCAAGGTAGTGTTCCTTTTTATTTGTTTCCTAACTTGCGAACATTTACTTAAACAGGTTCTCCTGTGTTAATTTCATGCCATTCTCTCCGCTCAAAAGGAATTGGCTGGCAAGTTCTTTGGCATCGCCCCGAATCAGCGCGATGAGCTTGAAATCAGGTGGCGCGACATGGTAGGTGCAAAGTCGAAGCGCAGCTTCGAATCTGCTTGGGGTCGCTTCAAAACCAAGTACAGTATCATTCCACCTTCATTTGCGACATATATTCACAAGGGCTGGTTAATTGTGTGGATATGTGGGCTGAATGCGCGTGGGGAAGGGGGGAAGGGGGGGGGGGGTTCTTCGATTCAATCATGCCGACATATCGGGTTTGGGAACTTGTAATAGCTTCTTGCAATGTCGGAAACTCACACTGAACACTCGTGGTGGTCGACCTCAAAACACAGAGCACTGTAGTGTACGGACCATTAATGGAGGTTTCCTACTTTTAAAACAAAAACCACAGCGAGATGCGATGAGACCATTTTTCCGGCAACCCATACATGGGGAATGCGCACACAGAAATCAATTATCGCTCTGGATCCTACCACGCTCGAAACACCTATCCAAAATGATGGCTATAACTGCGGAGTGTTTGTGCTTGCGATGGCTTGGAATTTCCTGGATCACACTGAGGACGACTTCAGAGGGTTTCTCGGACTAGTCCACCCCAAGACACACGCGCATTTCGCATTAGCATTTTGTGGCACTAATTAGCGTCTCCTAACGCCTCGACAACAACGACTTGCATGACTTGCCTCCAAGAGATGAGATAACTGGAATGCGAAGTCCGCGCGTACGTCCAGAAACTGCAAATGGATTCGGAATCACGCTGAATCATCGATTTTTTATATCCTGCGCTGCTGTTCATTTAGGTAGATATTGATAATGCGCATGAGCAAGCGCACAAATAAGAGCATTAATTACAATGAACCCGCTGATTTTTTTTAACTATGGTAGATATCCCCAAATGGATGAGTAAGCATGTTGATCAACGCCACCATACTCAAAATGTGGATATCGCTTGTAGTTTCCTAGTCCACAGTGAGCGTTGAGCCAGTCATCAGCATACTGTACCAGCTACACCTTCGTTTGACGCCTGATCAACCACTCAGCAACCTCCGCATTCTCACAAACCTGCACAGGGTCATAGCAACATGATGCTCAAGCGCAAGTCCCTGCCATATTTAGAGGAAGACGCTGAAAACGAAAGCACGCTGTCTGGCTGCCTTGTCGCCATGCGCTGTAACTACATCCGAGGGCTCACAAGTACCACGATCTTGCTCTTGCTTGCACCGTCAGATTGTGGTTAGTGTCTCCTTCCTTCTTCTGCACTGCGCCTTTGCTGCACATACGCGGTGGATGATATCCCGAGCAGGAACAGCTTGGATGAGGCGTGACTGTACCAAGTAGCGCGGATGAGTATGAAGACGTTTAACCTGCTCTTTGAAGATCTTAAAGTCACAGGACACCATCCGACAACTCGCCACATCTGCGTTGGCGAGCGTCTCATGATTGTTTTGTACATTTTGTCCAGAAAAAGCAATCGAGAAGCTCAAGAACGCTTTCAACACGGTCCAGACACAATTTCTACACTTTTACGACTAGGAATTGCTGCTATTAAAGCTTGATATCACGAGTACAATCAGCAACCAGACAAAAAATACTAGCTTTTTCACCATCGTTTTGACACATCTCAGTGCTTTTCACGTAATTCCTCATGGAAGATGCCGATCAGCGGCAGATTTCCCGACGAACTCCGATATTCAAGGGTATGTAGATATCGTTACACTAATAATCGCTGTACTACCCGGCGCAAATTAATCTAGCGTCGTGGGTTTTGAGTAAGTATTAATTTACTGAAATTTCAGAGGGCTTAAGCGATATTAATGCTACCATGTTCCATTATGCAACTTTGCATACGAGACACTGCAGTTTGATTGGCTTTGCACAATGCGCCAATGAGTACAATCAAGGCCCGATAATATTTAAATTCCTTTTTTCTCTCTTTAACTTATCCATCTATGCGAGGTCATTAAATTAAAGCGGTAATGAGCTGTTTTTGATGCCGATCTGACCAATCAGCAGCGAGTATGTCACTTTTGTTTATCTCTTCTTTTTTTAAAGTATTTTTTAACTTCGATCTGGTCCTTATTCGGGCTTGATTAGCTTATTCCGTTTTAAAGCAGACTCACCAAACCCGCCCTGAATGAGACAACCCATAATTAACATGCAATTAGCCGGCCATAGGGCATAATTAAGGTTGAGAAGGGAACACAATTATGCAGAATAATAGCGGCATAATTACTGAAAGGCACGATAAGCCATTCGTATTGAGAGAGTGAAAGCCCTCTCAAGCCCCGCTGCATATTAGAGGGGAGTGGGAACAGCCTTATTTGCCTGCAGTCACAAGGCCCTATTGGCTCATCAACCCTTTAATTGGTGACCTGCTGTACTTAGTTTGCCTGGACTGCCGCGATTCGCTTCGCTCGCGAAAAGAGGTAAGTGTAGGCCCTACACTGTAGGGTACTCTGGCGAGTGCAACGCCGGCTCGCAGACGAGACCGGTACCGCAAATATCGCGCGGCTACGCGACTCGAATCCGCTCACCTCCGTTGCAAGCTTTTAGCATGCGTAGGCTTTTTTTCCGTAGCTTTCAGCGTCAACATTCAGGCCAAGCTCGGTGCGATGGATCGTTAACCAAGGCGAGGTGTTCCACCACTTAGAGACACAACTACCAGCACGTGAACCTGGTCATCATGGCGCTGCTTTTTCAAAAGTAACAAAATAAAAAAAGATAATCATCTGCGTGACCCAACTATCACGCAAAAAAACTATTATCAATATCTCCAAAACTATTTGCTCACGCTCCAAGTTACCATTTTACATGTCATTTATGCCGACAGCGCCGTCGCGTGTGATTAGTGCGCGCGTCAACACTGAGGACACATCCAACAGATTCCCTAGCACAAGCAGTAATGGCGTCGTGAAGTTTGTCGTTGTCTCGACACGCGACAGTCGCCATGATGCAGCGTCCCACTCGAAACAGACAGAGTATGGCACCTGTAGATGCTGGCCCAAAAGTTTGGAGCGTAAGAACTTATCCTTCAGGTGCGGAAACACATTCTCAAACGTTGACTCCGACACTGTCACGTTTAGCGTTGCAGTCACACTAACAAACCGATCGGTGGTGCGCTGAATGTGACGCAGCTGAAGGCACAGATTCTGGAAGCTCGACGAATACAGCCGCCACTGGTGCATAAGCGCCTCCACACCTGATCGTTCACCTAGATTGACGTCTTCCATCATCGAAGAGCGCAAGAAAGCAAGCTGTTGCTTCTTCTCTGCGTTATCGATGTTGTTGCCGGAATCATTAGTTGTGTGTGCTTCTCTTTGTTTACCAGTCCGAGGCAAATCCACGAGAACACCGAAGCGAAAGAGGCGGAAGTACTCCACCACCACGTTCCAGACGTCTTGCTGGCCTCCGTGACGGAGTGTGTTGCGCTGCAACTCAAGGATTGGAATGTCAGCACGCAGCTTCTGGACTGTTTCTTCGACCTTCTTGACGAGATCGATTTGTTTCTGACGGTATCGAGCCTGGTTAGCTCGACACTGTTCGCGTCTTCGCTGAGTTTTGACTCGAATTCGTTTTGGTTTGGGCTGCGGTTGATCGGTGTCGCGGTCACGTAGGTGTTTGCTAGCGCGCACAGCCGCAACAGCGAGAGCATCATCAGATCGGCTACTGGAATTGTAGTGCGAATCCAAGAACCACTCCGCCTGCGCTGAGTCGGCGGTAATTGAGCGCTGTTGAATGGCCATAGATAGTGTGGGGAGCTGCATGCTTGAGTTCGAGTGCGTGTCTACACGTTTCAAGGACTTCACCGCCGCGCTTCTAGCAGCGGTATCGCGCTGGAAAACCGGTCGGACAATCTCGGAGCTCAGCAGTCGGTGGGTGTGCATAGATCTTTGCGGTGGTAGGGCGTCGGGAGCGGGACATGCCTGCATATTCTGCATAGCTTTATAGGTTGCTTTACTGGTGTGGGTAGTTGACTTGTGTATATCAAGGTGAATTGATCAATGAGAGACACGTTGGCTCATTGATCACTTCCGAGCGAATAATGCCGTCCTACTGTAAATTCAAGACGATTCTTACCCGCGGCTTACGCGATAATTGTGGCCTCCGTGTTTACTGAAAATGATCGTATGGAGGGAGCGGCATAATTAAAATTTGCTCATGTTGACGCCGGCTCAATCGTTCTGGCTGATTTGATGTGTCTAGGGTACGGCAAATACTTAAAACAGGGGATCGCTGCGGTCCACTACTTGTCATACACGTGCGGTACTGTAGTGATGAGGATACAGTGGGTGATACCTTTTTCATCTTTCGATATGGATTAGTATCAATAACAATTGGCGCTTTACGGGAGAAGAGCATACGTGCGCAATTGGCCAAAACAAATCGCAATACGCCGGCCATCCTAACGTTTCACTACTGCACGTTTGCTTTGTGCTGTGGTCGACATGCGCGCTTTTAGCAACGTCTGGTCTCGTTCATTGACGAGACACGATAACCATACGTTCAAGCGTTGATTTCGCACTTTTAGCGCTCCAACTCACATCGTAAGCAGGTTGCACCTTGCCGGATCACAAATCGTTACAAAGCAGCATGATCTGCCCTATGTGTACATGTATGTATTTTTAATTTTCAAGTATTAAATACTTGAAGAAGATTTGTTGAAGGGAAGTGGCTGCTGCACCCAAGTGAGATGGAGGGGGTGAAATAGAGTGCAAATCAAAACGGAGAAGACCAACAGAGGTGAGCGATATTTGCGGAGGCGGGCCAAGCGCCGAGCTCCGCAGCGAGCCGAGCACTGCACTCTCCAGGTTAGAGAATCTTTCTATTACAGGAGCGTAGCGACTGCATTCGACGCGCAGCGGAGCAAATCTTAAAGGTCGAAATTACATCTGTCCTCTTTACTAAGTAGAATTGTGAGGGTGATGAGAAAGTATATTGGGTATAGTAAAGTCGACGATTCCCAGTTGGGCAACAAGTGCCTTAAGGACAAATTTTGGGTCCTGTTATAGTAGAAATGAATAGCAGAGAAGTTTCATTCTTTGAACGGTGCCAGCCTGCTTTGATAAAAATGTATAAAAGATGGATAGATACATACTACCATAGTGAGAGCTCTACAAGTAGAGAATTACTCAAAAGTAAATACATGTGAATTAAACGATGTACTCCTATCATCGTTATGTGAATAACCAGCTCGAAAGCAGTCTTCTGGTAGCAAAAGAATATATTCTCGCGGTTCAGCAGTTGCTATTCTCGTGTGAGAAAAGAGTTGAAGTCCATAAGCTATGTCGTTCGACCCTTCGTGATGTGTGTGCTATCCATATCCTTATCCATCCGTGAATATTTTAAGCGCGGTCTTCGCAAGAATCACCACCCAACAAAGTTCTTGGGTTAGAAACAACGACGATCGAGGCCCATCGGCTAACCGCCAAGGCGCTGTGGATGGCATAGTTTTGCGGTAATGGTTTCCGTGGCGCCAAGCATGAGTAAACTAAAAATTATCAGCATTAATCAGTAATTGATAACCATGCCGCAGACTCAAGAGAATCTGACCCTGATGCTATTAAATAAAAGCTATGACAGCAATAGTTTAGATCATCCTTACTGCTCTTGTTCCAACGCCAAATGCATATATTCTACGTGTAATTATCACTCTGCGTGTGATTAGTCTGTGCACCTGACACTGAGACCGCATCGAATGCCCAGCACACGCATCAACAGCATCTTGAGGCCCATCGTTGTCCCCACGCGTGACAGTCACCATGACGCTGAGTCCAATTCAAAACAAACAGAGTACAACACCTGTAGATGCTGACCCGAAGAGCATAAGAACTGATCCTTCCGGTGTGGATCACATGCTCGAGCGTTGCCTCCATAGCGTCACGCTCAACTTTGCAGTCACACTAACAAGCCGATCGGTCGTACGCTCAATGCGACCTAGCTGAAGGCGCAAGTTCTGGAAGTTCGACGAATATGTACCACGACCACTGGTTCATAGGCTCCTCCATACGTGAGCGTCAGCCAAATAAATTGACAAGGCAAGCTGTTGCTTCGATCTGCGCTATCGAGGAAACTGGTCTGATAATTTTGCGGCTCGGGTAGACGAGCATGAATTGTGGGACGTCAGCAGCTAGACATACCAGTGCCACGCCAGAGCACACAGCACGGGTTTATAGTGGCATGCTGGTGTATTACACCGTGTAAGTATGTAAAATGAGATCAGCAAGAGACGCGGGTCTAATTGGCCAGAAGCGAAGAATAATTCCAAACAGTTTCAGTACTGGTTACGCGCTCAGGGAGACCCCTATGTTTACTCAAGTCAACAAACCGTACGGAGAGAGAAAGACATAAGTTGGTCACCAGCACATCAACACGAACTACCACAAACTTGGTGGTCGTTCGTATTGATGTGCTCACCAGGACACCTCCAATTGGACCAGTGGAGAGTCCACGCAACCAGCCGACTTAACTGGTTTGGTCGTGACTATCCATGTAGTATTCACACCGTGTGGACACTGTGAATCACACGTATTAATATGTAACTCTAGACTGTGTGTGGTGAAGGAATTATAATACTTCAAGTATGAGAATAGCTCCAGAAAGGACTATTCGAAACTAATCAGACAATGGAACAGATTTCTAAGCAGATCCGTTAGGCGCAGAGCTTGTCGTCGGGCTCCTGCTACATGTGCTTTTTGTCAAATCAGTTGCAAACAGAAAGCCGCAACGTATGACAATGTAAATTTACACTTCGGAAATAAGCATAAATATTTACAAGAACTTTTACAATTTTATAACTAGAAGGCTACTGGGTTTTCTTCATCGTTGCCTCATGTCCACTCAGGACTTCTTAAACACTGATTTGATGAGACGCTATCGCTCTGGTCAGTGTGGCCAAGTTGGCACAGCAAGTCTTGCTGTGGCTTCGTAGTATCAAACATCTGATTCTTCTTCGATTTTTAGTGAAAGGGTTAATTGGTTACTGGTAGTTGACTTGGGTTAACGAAAGAAATATTCCTTTCACTTTCTTAAAAGAAGTGTAAAAGCTATCACTACCAGAGCAAAGTAGAGAAGTATTTAAGTTGCAGGGTTAAATTACTTAGCACTTAATGCTACTGCAATCACTGGGGAAGTACTAGGATTGAAGCACAAAAAGACATGACATCTGTCATTGCTTAATACCTTCAACTTGAACACTGTAGACGCATTCGTGGCACTGCTGATTATTTTCCTGGAAGAGTGTGGGTATTATTGCTTCGTTGTATCGGCGTGAGAGACAACTGCTGTGGAACTGGGAAACTGGTGCTCCTGGGCGTCTAGCTGTTATTTATTTAGAAAATGATTTGTGACCAAGTTGCTTACGATTTATGCACGGTGAGGAGAGGGGTTTGAAAGAGCGCAATCAGTGCACTGGAGATATGACCATCACGATTGTTGATCAATCTCATCAACAGCGGACCATTCCAGAATTTGCTTCCTTTTTGAAGACTTTCGTTTAGAAACAACAATGCGCTTCAGCATCTTCGTTGCCCTGCTCGTTGCCACCTTCGTGGTGTGCTGCTCCAGCTTTACCAGAGCTGAGAGCGTCGATCTTGCCAATTTTGAACGCCGTCTTCGCGAGGAAGCAGTCCCGGTTAACAAGGATAACGTTGCTAAGATCGCTGGAAGCTGGCTCGAGAAGCTGCAGACGAATACCGCCTTGACGAAGGCAGTCAAGACCGTCCAGGCTTCGGACGGAGACGAGGTTGCTGTCAGGAAGGCCATCACGGCATTCGCTGCTACCAAGGATGCGGTCAAGACCAACGACGAGCAGATTGCCAAGCTCGCTTCCATGATTGCAACAACCGCGAAGAAGAACCCCAAGTCATGGCCTCGTCTCCGCAAGTTCGCCAAAATCACGCTGGGCGCAACTGTTGGTGGTCTTGCCATCTACGGTGCGTACAAGCTTCTGTTTGACAGGAACGCTTCGGGTGCTGCGGCGACGACAACGACTACTACTACGACGGAGTAAGCTTTGCAGATGATTTGCAGTTTTATGCTCGAAAAAGTAAAGAACCAACTACATGTAGTTAGGCATTGGAAAGGAGAGTTCTATGGCATGTAGTTTTAAAATCCAGCCCTTCGTTACTATTGTGACAACAACAACAAATATTCACAGGTACTCGTTCGTCAAAAAGAATAACAACTGTATTATCGTCAGATGCAATACGGTGCTAGCTTTTTTCCCTGAGTCACATGATTTGTTATCAGCTTGAGGTCCTCGTCACTACTTCATCGATTAAATACTCTGGTGTGATGAGAGCCTGATCAATCACGTAGCTAACTTCCTCAATATTACCCAGCACCCGTAGTAGCGGTGTAAGTAAATCCATCGTGGCAAATAGTCTTGTTACGCGCCCAATCGAGTCATCCCAGCAGAAGCGTACAGTACATCGACAGTCAAGTCGCTGTCCTAGAAGGCGAGTGCCCAGTGGTGACACGATAGTAGCACTACCACTCGCCTCGCCATCACTACAAGTCTCCTCAATCCTTTGCTCGAGTAAATGTGGGAAAACGTATCGCAGCGTCACCTCTGTAATGGTTAGACTCAAAGTAGCCGACGTTTCCAGTGCGCCAAAAGGCTGCTCTTCCATCCGATTGAGCTTAAAGTAGAGGCTTCCAAAGAACAACGAGTAGCGCTGCCACTGGTCAATGAGAGCGTCAACCCCACATAGTTCACCAAACGCAACGTCCGGGGCCATGACCGCCCTTAGAAAATACTCCTGATCATGGAGATCACTTGTTGGAGACGCCTCATTAGACTCTGCCGTGCATCTAGGCATCAGAAAGCCGTAGCGGAGCAGACGAAAGTACTCGATTACAACGTTCCAGACGTTGTTCTTGGTCTGGATACCATAGCACAAAGTGTGTCGCTCTCGTGTCAGCTGCTGAATCTCCTCCTGCAGTTTGATCACATTTTCCTCCAATTCGCGAACAAATCCTCGCTGTCTGTCGCGATAGCGTGCTTGATTATTCCTGCACTGCTCTCTCCGGCGTTCGGTCTTGAGTCGGATGCGTTTCTTGCGCTTTGGCTTCGCTGTTTCAGGATTTAAAGTCTTCGGTGCCGAGTCTGTAGTAACCGGAGACGTCGAGGTCTTGGAGTCAGCAATGAGTTTAGTTAGGGGCACGAGTGCCGACAGGAGCCCGACATGAGTGTCGGTAGGGTCAGGGGCCTCGCGCTTTCGAGTAAAAATGGAGGTGCCACGTCTGGGCGAGCTGTCGTCTCGCTGTCCGCCCGTTAGCGGCTTGTCGGGTAAGAGCAGCGGTGGAAGCGGCCTGGAGCCGATTCTAAAGTCAAAATTGCGGCTGAAAGTGGCCATATTGAGCGATCTTGTGGTCGCTATGCTGTCGCACGCTCTCTTTGAGAGAGAATTGCGAAGTGGGGCCAACGGAGAAGAGTGTGATCATCTCGTTACCTACACCCGTTTAAGACGATATAGAGAGTATCGATATAGAGAGGGGAGTCAACAAGTATGGCATAAACGGGTCAAAACGAGATGAAGATTATCCCCGTGATGGCACACATTCCTGAAGCTCTCTGAAACACACTAAATTCTTGCTTTAAGTTATCTTCTCCTTCTTGGCGAACTACGCTGCTGCATTCTATTAAAGTATCCTCGGGCAAAACGCTGTTAATTCGCCGTGCGAGAGTGAGTATATGCAAGGCACGGAGAATCTTTCAGTTTAGAGTTGCCAGGATTGCGTGAACCTACTTTGTTGACGTAAGATTTGCACTGTCGCTAACACCGAGTCAAATCAAGCTGGAGGACTCTGTTCCTCCTGTCAGACTGACGACTTGGCTACTCCTGGGCAGCGGGGGCGGATTACCGCGTGGCTTCGTTGAATAAGCACTGCGATTTTTTTTAATATTCGCATGCTGAAGAATAGAGAACATGTAGAATCAGTAAGCTCGTGTGAATTACCGGAACTTTTGTCCATGGCCGGCATAAATCATAGTGATGATGAGAGGACTTCATCGGTGAGGTGCTTTGAGTAACTCGCTACGACAATGAAGGAGGGCGATAGCCTCAGGAATGGAAAAGCACGGCAGGTCCCTATTTACTCTGTTAACTTTAATGTGTGTAACGTGAAGGGGAGTACAACTCCACCGCAATGAGGCCCTGAGCACGGAATGCAGCTGCATTAGTCGGTTGATTCCAGCGCCAAGTCTTGCAGTAATAACTCCAAGTCCTCACACACGTAGCACTAGCCAGGCCTTGTAGCTGTGCACATACAGACATCTAAGCGCGGTACTTTTCGGAGGAAGC